TTTTTGAGAAGTTTTGCTATAGAGCGCGTGCGTTCACAAAAAAGATATAGAGGGACAGAGAGAAAGTGAGAAATCACTCCCTGGGGCAGTGGCCATACCACAATTCCTTCTCCTCTGTTTTCCTCCTGGGATCCTGGGCACGCACGCACATGCACCAGCATGAGTTTAAGCCACCAGGTCTGGGACTCGAACTGTGGTCGAGTACATGGGAGTCCTGCGATGTAGCCATTATGCCATCTGCTTGTCCCGGTTTGTTTTATTTTTAAAAATTTGGCCAGAGAGAGAGAGAGAGAGAAAGGAAAGGGAGAAAGCAAGCCACCAGATCCAGGACTTGTACTGCTTACAGCCATGTGAGAGTCCAGTGTCTTAATCTCTTAATCACCATGCCACCTACCAGCTTGTCCCAGCATATTTTTCAAGCCTCTGTGTCCAGGACTCCAACCGTGCGGTTGGCTTTGTGGAATCCAGCTGTCTTAATCTCTATTCCACCTGCTGGCCCTACATATTTTTATCTTTACACCAGTTTTTGGGACCAGCAGTTCACGTAATGGCTGTGTCGCTGGACTCCCATGTAGTCGACTGCAGTTCAAGCCAGACCCAGTGGCTTAAACTCACGCCAGGTGCGTGTGCATATGTGCCCAAGATCCCAAGAGGAGAATGGAGGGGAAGGGACTGCTGTTTGGTCATCTCCCCTGAGGGGTGATTTCTCCCTTTCCATCTCTCTGTCTCTGTCATTCTGGCGAGCACATGTGCCCTATAACAAAAACCTCTCCCCCTAAAAAAAAGAAAAAAGAAAAAAATCAGTTTTTACAGTCTTGTTGTTTAATACATAATTCCTCTCTAGGCTTACTCATATATTTTGTGTTCAGGACATAGTGTGAATCAGACAATAAGCATATTATTAACTACAAAAGGAAATAGCAGGAATAATACAGAAGGAAATAAGAGTATAATTTCTTTCATTGGTATCTTGGAAGAAAGAACACAGTTTTCTTAAGAGAAACTCTGTAGAAGTATGGACCTTTTACTAGTATTTTAAATTTAATTTTCTCTTTTTATAGCCATGAATGTAACTTGTAAAGATTTTAAAAATCTTTCTTTTTGCCTCTGTTTCATCATTTTTAGTTAGCAATAGCAAAGAATAACATTATTAAACTTCAAGAAGAAAATCATCAGTTACGAAGTGAAAATAAATTGATTTTAATGAAGACACAGCAGCACCTGGAGGTCAGTACATATACCTTTCTAACAGACTGGCTTGTGTCAGGAATGACCATTTTTAGGTACTTTTGCGCAGATTAGTAATCTTGTGCCACATTAGTAGTGGTGGTTATAGAACAGAAGGCTTTATGTTTTCTTCCTAGGTTACCAAAGTGGATGTGGAAACTGAGCTTCAAACATATAAGCATTCTCGGCAGGGGTTAGATGAAATGTACAATGAAGCCAGAAGGCAACTTAGAGATGAATCTCAGCTAAGACAGGTAAGTTACATTAAAATTACATTGAGGGACCAGCAGATGGCGTAATGGTTACCTCACTGGACTCCCATGTCAACGTGGTTCCAGTCTCAGACCTGGCAGCTTAAACTCACGCCAGGCATGAGTGTGTGTGTACCCAAGACCCCAAGAGGAGAATGGAGGAGGAAGGGTTGTGACATGGCCATCCCCTTTGGGGGATGATTTCTTGCTTTCTGTCTCTCTGGCTCTCTGGTAAGAGGATACACCTTGTAGTAAAAATCTTCTCTCAGGAAAAAAAAAATAAGCAAGTCTACTTTAAAAAATCTAAAAGGTGATTATTTAATTTTATTCTCTAATCTTTTAGAGCACTTATAGGCCTGTAAGTCTCTGTCCACATCCCTTAGAATTAGTGGTAGAAATGTTAAACCAGCAGTTAGGGTAATGGCTATGTCGCTGGACTCCCACGTAGTCGACCGCGGTTCGTGTCCCGGACCCGGTGGCTTAAAACTCACGCCGGGCGCGTGTGCATGCGTGCCCAAGATCCCGAGAGAATGGAGGAGAAGGGATTGCGGCATGACCATCCCCCCTGGGGGATGATTTCTCGCTTTCTGTCTCTATATCTCTCTCTGTCTGTCTGGCGAGCGCACGCGCCCTACA